CGGGGGGCCGCGGAAGGGCGGGGGGGGGGGGTGAGGGAGGAGGAGGCTGGGCCGGGCCCGCGCTCCCCAGCCTCAACCGGCTCGTCTGTGCCCGCAGCGTTCGTGGCGGCCTACGCGGTGTACTCGTGGGGCACGGAGGAGAACGAGCGCCTGAAGAGGAAGAACCCGGCGGACTACGCGAATGACCAGTGAACGCAGCCCTTGCGCATGGGGTGGCCCCTGCAATAAAGTCACGACCTGACCTGCGCCTCCTGTGCTGCTCGTAGTCCTGCCGGCTGCACGTCCCTTCATATGGGGAACTGGGGCAGCAGGGTCCACTGCTGCTCCCCTGATTCCCTGGGGCCTGGGCCATGCCCCCCTGTGGCTGGATCTGCTGCTTGACTGGAGGGTCCTGCCCCTTCTCCTGTGCAAGTGGGCTGGGGTCCAGCCCCATCCTTGCACCTCACATGGCTGGGTTGCCCCCTCTACCTGGTGGGATTGATTTCCTCCCCCCACATCTGCCTGCTGGGTTGGGTTTGGCCCACCAGCCGCATCCAGCTTGTGGATGGCTGGCCTTCAGGGCGAAAAGGCTGGGCACCCCTGGCTGCTGAAACCAAACTTCTTGCTTAAGAGCATTTGGTGGTGATGGCTGCTTCAAGGAGCCTGTTCCAGACACTTGAGAGCAAGCAGGGCGCTGTCTGTCTTGGCATGTGGACCACATGACACAGTGGCCGGAAGGCAAGTTCCAGCGCCCCAATAATCAGCCACTGAGATTCTTCTTGTTTCTGCTCATTGGCACTTTTTCATGCTGCTGCAAGTGAGGAAAAAGCTCAAACTAGTTGCAGCTGCACATCTTCCTGCTAGATTGCAGCAACTGTGTTTGGAGATTAAATAACTTGGGTCCCACAAAAAGCTCTTGTGTGGGTTAAACCAGAATAAGTCATCTCGGCCAGTGAGCTTAAAGTGAAGGTAGCATTTGGTTAAGGGTGGGGGGAAAGGTTATAGTAACTAACAGGTCCTTGTCCTCATGTTCAGGAAGAAAGGTATGAGGATTGTGCTGATCTAGACCACATGTGCTGTTCAGTCCCGGAAAGGTACTTTGTCTTCATAGACCAGCAGTGCTCAAGGTTTCCATCCTGCAGGCCCGATGAGTGGCATGGGGCTCATCTGCAGGCCGGATTGGGCCCTACACTGCCTCAACCCAGCCCCATGCATTAGGTGCGGGTTCTGCGTTGGGGGTAGGCCCTGTGCCACCCTGTCTGCTCAATCAAGTGTGCAGGGCCACAGCTGACTTGGGGGGAGGGGGGACCTGTAGATCCATGGGGAAGCCCCCCTCCCAGGCTGAATAACCCAGGGGCTGGGGGTTTAGCACTTATCATGGACAAAGAAGGTTCTCACAAGATTAAGTGATAGATAAATTCCTGTTTTATGGTATATATGTTAAAGCTGGACTTGTGTACAAAGTTTGCTGCTTTCCAGGCTTTTTCACTGCCGGGTCATCAGTCTTTAAAAAGTAACCAGAACATATTGTTTCTCATCTCTGTCCACGGTAGTTGAACATTTAGCTTTAGCATTCTTGGCAAAAGGGCTTTACATGTTCAGGACAATGAACTTGGTTCCAGTTTCGGGACTCTTTGTCATCCATCCCCCCCGGTCTCTGTTCTCGGCTAAAATCAGCCTCTTACAGATGGTAAAGTGACTAAGACTAACCTTAGCTGCTGAGAGTGCTCTCCCTAAGGAAACTGAATGTCAGTTCTTGCCTTTGGAATCACTGGGGAGAGGTATTTAGCTGTAATAGTCTGAAGTCAGGCAGACAGCAGGGTAGATGCGTCTAAAAGACTAACTAAATGATGAACCTTGTGTCCCCAGGGCTGAAACAAAGCTATGGATATGGGCAGGGTGTTTTTTTGCCTTTTTTTTTTTTTTTCTTCTTTTTTATATATGTGAAGCTCAAGGAAACCTAGGTGAAACTGAGTCGTTTGCTTCCTTATTTAATTAATCTGCTGAGAGCTAAGGTAATCTCTTAAGAGTTTGGCATTTAGTATAGCCTTGGCTCAAGGGGTTTGTACAGTCCCTTTCGGCTTCTGCTATGAGGGAGAAAAGTTGCATCTGGTAGAAACAGGATTTCAGTGCTAAGCCACCATGTCAGCTAATGCTGCTTCCTGTGTCATTAATCTTGTGCTCAGGTAACCTAATTCGGGGGTGGAGGGGGATCAAGTCTAGGGACTTGAAACAGTCTCAAACCATAGGGACAAAAAGAACAGGCAACAGCAGCTGGGGAAGAAAGTGTCAGAACTCTTCAAAGGCAGATTTTAAACTAGGATCAGGTGACTAGGACAGTAGGAGGAAGCCCTTAAGGCTATAATAATAAGACTGAGTAATAGCAGCATCTGCAGTACTTACAAGGTCTGTTATTAGTGAAAACACAAGCTGTTTCTGTAATGCTTCAGCAGCCTAGAGGATCTTGCTTCCCCCTTCCATCTTAAGTTTCAGAATGACAGGCTTGGTTGGCCTTTTACAAGCACAATGGAGGAAAAGGTATAAAATATCCTTTTCAAGCAGCACTTCATAAAGTGACTTTGAGCTCCTAGTGGTCCCTCTTCAAATCTGGCCTTGGGCTAGCTCCACAAAGAGCTTTGGTGTGGAGGGACAGACCATGTGTGTGATCTTACCATTCAGCTGTACTGTTATGTAGCACCAGGTTGTATAAGCATATTCCAAGAGCAAGTCCTGAACATGAGAGCAGAGGAGGATTGCATAGCTTGCGAGTCCCACCAGGGCTTGGGGCTTGGTACAACTTCCATTCATGTCCAGCGGAAGGAGGTTTACTGGTGAACTTGGGGAGCTTCAGGGTTAAGCAGCACTAAAAACACTAGTTTTGAGGCTCTAGATCTAGAACACAAACCCAAGTCCCAGAATCCTTCCTGTTTCTGGCCCAATGCACCCTGCCACCCTATTTGCCCTCTTACATTTGCTCTGTTGGCTCTTGGGTTTTATTTTCTGGGTGCATTTCTGAGGCCTGCAGAGACGGCTTTGTTCAAATTGCTGTGCATCCTGCCCAGCTCTCTCTATTAGGGTCCTTTTATACCAATTCTCTTGTGGCAGAGCAGAGGGAGTAGTGAGGCTGCTGTTAATTGCAGGGTGTAACTAAAGAACAAGTAGGTTACTATCATGACTGACACACCAGCACATCCTCCTGACTTTGTAAACAGGAAGCTGATGCTTCCCGAGAAGGGATGAACAGCAAATGGTGTGATGAAGGCAAAAAGCAACTTGCACAGGACACAAATACTAACATGAAGATGACAACTGCTCTTCCAAACCCCAAGCTCCATCCACACCCAAAACACTGGAGTTCAGCTGCTGCTCTCTGTTCAGAACAGCTGGTAAGTAACCAACTACTTGGGTTCCTCAGAATTAAGACAAATAGTAGTCAGACGGGACAACAGTCATAGAGCTGCTATAAGCAGAAGTAACTGCTTTGGGTATAACCACATCTGACCTGCCCTAATTGCCAGCTGATCCCCACTACAGTAGGCCCAGACAAGGACAGTACAAGAGATTTAATTTTTGCTTTCAAGAAAAGGATATAGCAGGAAGTAAAGACGTGGCAGCCAAAGGGCACTGACCTTTTTTTTTTTAAATAAAGCCACCTTGTGGCAGAATGTTCACATGGAGCAAGGTACAGTGGTTTCTACTAAACCTCAGCAACATTAGGATAAAAGGCACTTATCAGTATAGCACCAGGCCTACAACGTGGCATTATTTTAATCAAGTTGCTCCTTCTCTACTGGCACTCCTGAAGTTCCTCCATATTAAGCTATTAGGGAAGCCTAGGTCAAGGCTATCTACTTTCCATGCTAGAGCTTTTTACATGTATTATATAGTTTTGTACAATAGCATCCAGCCCACAAAAACTGAGACCTGTTTGTGTACACTGTGCTGTCTTGAACCCTCATTGTTCCTAAAATCAGGACCAGGGAATGGGTTAAAGGTTTCCTTCACACAAGTTTGTAGTCTCTTAAGTCAGTTGTCACCAACCAGGTGATTTTGCAGAGCCCCTGACTGTCGATCTCAGTGGGGGGGTGCTGGCCCCCTAGACAGAGAGACTGTCAGAGGCTCTGCAGTTGGGAGTGGCAAGAAACATGGAACACAATCCAGGAGCGGCAGCATGTGTAAGCAATGGGACACACATGGGTGGACTGAGCTGCACCTGCTGCTGCTAGGGCTGGACCAGGCAAGTGGGGCAATCCCCCTTTGTGCCTGCTGCTACCAGGAGAGTGGAGCCCCAGCCAAACCAGGGGAGAGTCAGAGCCTAGGCAAACTGGCCGGGGGGGGTCCCTGTCACGGCACACACCCTGGCAGGGGCGGGGCACATGCCCTCCTGATCTGTGCACAAGGTAGCTGCTGCTGCGTGCTAGACTTTGCGCCTTACCGGGGTGCATGCAGCAGTGAGAGGTGCCCCCATGTACCTGCACACTTTACCTGGGCTCTGACTTCTCCTGGCCCAGCCAGGGTCCCACTTGTGCCTCTTCTCCTTCCCCCAACAGATTGATGTGCGGGGTGGTGCAGGGCAGTAGATCCTGGATTACCCTTTACTTCAAAAAATTATTTTCACCTTTAGAAAGGCTGGAGACAACTGCTCTAAATCCTACATTTTAATACATCTACCTCCTGCCTACCTGGATTGCACCTGGGAGCCAAACTGTTGCACACACAGATGTTTACTGCTAAGCTAAGAGCACACAAGCGAACTATCATTCTGGAGGAGGGCATGCACTTTTCTGACTTGTCCTTCTGCCTCCAACATGGATTTTTAAAAGGAAAAAAGGGGAAGAAATGTGAATTTCACTATTTCCTTTCCTCCCTGTTGTAGAGCCGCCTCCCATCAGACAAAAAAAGGCTCAGCAGTCTGACTTGCTTCCTGCACACTGCTAATCACCTTACCAAAGGGAACTGTACTTGGCTCCCTTCCAGAGTAGACTTGGGATACAGCAATGAGTGGGGGCAGGAATATTCTCCCAGCATCACCTTTTTAATGGGTCTTTTGTACAACTCATGGGGACACCCCACCATCTGAAGTGTTAGTTCAAGAAAGGGAGGTTGTGGAAGGGAAGAGAAGACCAGGCTATTTAGACCTCCCTCAGCTTTCAGTCTCAGCCAAGTACCACATTCAAATATGGTAGAAATCAATCCATCTAGCTCATCAAAGCAGGCCCCATGGAGCATTTTTTTTCAGAGTACTTATAAGTAAAGAACTCCCTGAGTAGGAAGTGAGAGACCTTGCTGGCCCTTGAGCAGATAACTCTCTTCTACTCTTTTGAAAAGCAGCTTTACAGAAATCATGTTTGAACTAAAAGTTGGGTTGACTGCAGGTCAAAGCCATCCTTATACAATTGCCTCTAACAAATTAACTCTCTCTGCTCTTAAGCTCATTGCAACACTTAGCTGTAGGGGGTGGGATACAGTGCAAGTAACAATTCCTTTTCTTAGTATGCCCACAAAATCAAACTCCTGCAAACTCCCCTCACATTAAACATGTATAATTCTGCACTATAATTCAGGGATCTGAAGCACAAACACTTTAGAATATTGAGGGGAGGAATACTTCTTGGTACTAATGGGGAAGCTAGTGTGTCTTATTTCATCCATGGGGAGACAGACTTGGTTCAAGATTTCATATAAGAGAAGCAAAACTCAATGACTTCCTGCCCAAACTACTTTACCTCTCAAAGGAAAGGAGATATCCAGTAAAGAGCTTCCTGAGCAGATAACCCTCTTTTATTCCTCTGAAAAGCAGATTTCTGTAAAGCTGCTTTTCAAAGCTGTAGAAGAGGGTTATCTGCTCAGGAGCCAGCAAGGCCTCCTACTTTCTCAGCTCAGGGAGCTCTTAACCTGTGTGGGCTTTGAATTTGAGAGGCAAGTAATCTTGGAGTTGCCCTCAACTGGACTTTAACTTATAAATTACATCTCCAAAAAACTGCTTTAAAAATCAAAACGAGGAATAATTACTTGCCAAACTTGCAGGCTCTATTGGAGTGCTAATGCCTCCATGCTACATTCAGCTGCTCTCGCACTGTGTTATTAAGTTGCAGAACACTGTGCCCCCAATATGGGCTTGTTCATCATCATACAGTAAACTAGTGGACACCCAACTGCATGCTACAGTGAGTCTTACATCAGGCACGTTACACCACACTCTACTCCCAGGGTTACCTGTACCAGAATCCTGGACAATCCTAACGCTGCCAGCGCACTGGGACATATTCCACCCACCAAAAGCTCAGCTTCCCTCAAGACGCCCAATATGGTCCACCCTTTCAAAACCCAACTTTTCCTTAGTTAGTGGCAGGAGGAATGGTCAGCACAAGCACCGATCAATCACCACATTATCTCTGACCCTACAGACAATCAACCAAGGTTTAACTGCCCATTATTGGGCATTTCTCAACTGGTTTCAAACTTGACATGGTCACTGTGCCTCAAACCTATACCAATGAGGCCTTCACAGTGTCAACAAATGCTTGTGGACAAGTACAAACCATGCCCTACATGGTTGACTTGTGTCCATTTACAGTGCTACCTGGTGGCCTTCAAGCTCTTCACACTGGTGATGACACTGCCTTAAGATGGCTGAAACATGCCAAATCCGCATATGCTAAATAAGTAAGTTTAAGGAACCCAAAGCTGCAAGTGCCACAGCCTGTGGAAGTAAACCTTCTTTGATTCCTACTATAGTCATACATGGCCAACTACCCTTTGGCTACAGGTACACTGTGGAATACTGGGAACCCTCTGAGACTGAAAAAAAGGGAACAATTAGCACACCTGGTAAGCTGAACATACAAAGTACGTGTCAGAAAAGTAAACAGATAGATGGATAAGGCCTTGAACTAGATAACTTCGGTAGACATTAACTTATTAAATCTCCCATTTCAAGATGGACTTTGTCCCTTTAACCACTGAGTGCTGATACAGCAATAGGGGAAGGGAGTATAAAAGTCTAACTGGAAGCTGGAGTAATTTTATTCAGGACTCCAGAACCGTCAGAAACTCCTCTGGCAAGCAAGAGCCGATCCAAAGATGCACTGGCTGAAAGTTATAGCAGTCATGCTGCTTTGTTCAGCCTTCCTGAGCCAGGTAAGAACAAAACAGGAGGAAACAAACATTTAAGCTATTGAATGCAAATGGTCAGGCAGTTACTGACATGAAAGCGTGAGTGATTACGTGTACAAAATGACTGCAGTATTTAGAGCTAACAGCAGCATATCTGTTACTTCAACAACTGAAATAGCATAAGCTAGTAGTGTCAAGGCAGTAGAATAACTCTATTTTCTTCAGCTCACATGCTGACATTGTGAATTTAGGCAAGTATTGTAGTCTGTCTGTCTGCGTTTCCAGCCCTAGAAAGCAAGGGTGCTGCCTCCTTTCCCGAACTGCTAAGACACTTAGCTATCTTTTAACTAGTGCTTTACAAAGATGCCAAATGATTATACCTTCAGTAAGAATCATTATTTTGTAATGGCTGTTGACTGTGTCTTTGAAGACTGTTAGGTGCTGGCCTAGTTAGATGTTGGAACAAAATGCTCCAGGGGAACATGGAATGTAGCTGCTGTTCCTTTCATGAGAGTTGCACTCCATTTGTTTCAGATACACTGTGCATCCTTGCATCAGCCAAACCCTCAACTAAAGAGGCAAAGAAGGATGACACCTTTCTGGAGAGGGGTCTCCTCCCTCAGACCCATTGGAGCCTCCTGCAAGGATGACGCTGAATGTGTCACAATGCTATGCAGGTAACTTTCACGTTCCTCATTTGCAAAAGTACAGGAATGCTGCCCCCGCCCTGCTGTGCAAGGGGACCTCCCACCGTGTTACAGTACTCGAGAAATTAAATTCATTCTTTACAGAAAGGATGATCACAAAGGGTTTAGTCATCTTTCCAAATCAGGGCAAACGCTGTGCAGCACCATGGTGGCCCAGGTGAGGCATGCAGATGAAAAGGACCTGGCAGGGTCTTTTTGGTTTGTGCTGCGAAGATGTTATTGAAAAGGCACAAGTAGTGGAATCTAGGAGGACAGACTTAACTGCCTGCTTTCAGGCCTTAAAATATGTCCCCCTTAAGATAACACTGTCCCTTTGAAAACATATGCTTATTAAAAGCACTCCCTCAACAGAGCAGGCCTACTCTACTGAGACGTGAGGAAGGGTTATGAAATCCAAAGCAAACATGGATTAGCCCAAGCTGACACCAACTGCTGGATGGACTATATTTCCAACTCCTGTTTCTTCCATTTACATCAACCCCTTCCTCCCCAATAAACACAAGTTATACTGTGTTAACTGAAGGCTGATTTACACAAGAGAGCTGAGACTACCAGCCATACAGCCAGTACTCTTCTTCTGCCTTGAAAAAGAGGACACAGTGCTGACAGCACATCGACTTCCTTACTAGGCAACAAATAGACATGCCTTTAATGTAAGAAATAGTATTCAAGTTCCTGTTTTAACACGCATTTAAGAAAGGTCACTGTAGGTTAGTGACCACTTGCCTCAGAAAGGTAAGAGCAGTAGAGATGCAAACAGATGGGAGTTGCATTGTGTTAAACCTTTTAGCATTGCCTATCGCTCAACTGCTGTGGTAATGTGTTTTGGAGCCAGCATGTCATTTGCTAAAGATCACATGCACATATAAAGTCAGACTGAAGCTGGTTGTTTCATCTGGAGAGAAACTGAGTTCAGGCCATCAGTTTTTGGAATACATATTTGAAAGAGACCTCTTATAAGCCTCCATACCAATGACAGTCACCAACAGTGTGCTTTCAAGAAGAGAAGAACAGTAAGATTTGGGAATTACTGAAAGCACAACAGGTTTACTTTATATTCAAGTTAATATTAAATGAGTAGGGCTATATGCACTGCACTGTGATATCTAGATAACTGTCAATTTGGATCTTAACCTGATACTGTGTCTTTGCAGGAAGAACCACTGTTCCTTAAGAATTTCCCGGGAATGATCTGTCACTGAGAAGAAAACATTGCTTTTACCTCCGATGAGACCCCACTCGGCATGTGAAATATTTATTAAACTGCCCTGAGTTAGGACATTGACTTATGTAATGGCATATATTTAGTATTTGTGCCAGAACAAATGAGGAACTTCAGGACGACTAAGTGCATACACTGGACAGAGCTGCACCACTCCCAAGCATGCCTGAAGATGAGTCTTGGGCCAAGCTCAGTAAAAGACTTTGCATCTCAGGTTTTCATATTGTTTGTATTATACATATTTTTATGCAAATTAAAATTTTGTGTTTAGCAAACAAACTCGCTTTGTCATGCATTCAAAAAAATGTCACACTGTGGGTACGTGTTGAGGCATTTCAAATGGAGGGTGTGGATGTGAAGCCGAACTATGGGCTAATGCCCTTTAGTTTAAGCATGTGCATGAAGTAATCAAGGACACAGGTTGTAGCCATGTTGGTCTAAGCACACAGGCAGACAAGGTTCTTTGGGTGAATCTCATCTCTTTTATTAGACCAATTGTTGGACAAATTTTCCTTTGAAAGCTTTTGGGTATAAATACCCTTTGTCAGGCTGAGGAAGCATCTGTAGTTGGTGTGTGCTCTTCCTGGATGGAAGGAATAGTAAAGAAGTCAGAGGCTGGGGTGGCATGTAAGAAAGTCAGCCAGTGCATATGAGTCTCTGGCTTCTTTACTAGTCATTCCATCTAGGAAGAGCACACACCAACTGCAGAGACTTCCTCAGCCTGACGAAGGGTATTTATACCCAGAAGCTTGCAAAGAAGAATTTGTCCAACTATCTGAGTTGGTCTAATAAAAGATACCAGATTTACCTGAAGTAATCAAGTGCATAAAGTAATCCAACCCCTGATGAATACAACCAAGTAACCCTTCTGAAAAGGAAAGCGAGCAAACTATTAAACAAGAATCTCAAAATAATACAGCCAATTCCATCAATACTCCAGCAGTTCCAATGGTTTTGGAAGAGAGAACCTAGTTCAGGGGTGGGCAATTATTTTGGGTGGAGGGCCGCTTATCAAGTTTTGGCAAGCCATCGAGGGCTGCATAGGTAGCCCTGTCTCTTGACAGGTGCCCTACAGCTGGGAACCATCTGGTGCTGGCCAGTGGGCAGGGAAATGGCTGCAACAGGCAGGGGGAAGGGTCTGCTAGCAGGCACACAGAGTGCAATGACAGCTGGGCAGGAGCACAGGGCACACACCAGTGCACTGGTTAAGCATGGGGCTGGGCTGCACTGCTTAAGCAGGGAGAGGGGGGAGCCAGCCTGGCTCCATAGGGCTCCTGCAGCCTGCTCTGGGCCCCACCGGTACTGACCCCGCACTCCCACCAGCTGTTGCTGCACTCTGCAAACCCACTTGCTGCCCCTCCCCCCCGCCTGCCACAGCCATTTCCCTACTCTCCCCCGGCTGCTACACTCCAGCACCACATGGTTCCCAGATGCAGTGCTGGGACCACAGAAGCCAGCTCAGCCAATCCTGAGGACTGAGGCAATTGTCCATGATCTTCCACCACCCCTCCTCCTTACCTGTATTTCCCTTGGTGCAGGGAGGCTGGAGTCTCCAGAAGCCCCTGCTAGGCAGAGGCTGCAGCGGAGGTGGGGCTAGAGGGGTGCAGGGCCAGGCCTAAACAGCTGGAACAGCATGTTCGTTCTGCCACCAGCTCCCTCTGGGTCCTACTGCACCTGGCTCCTGTTATCTTTGACAGGCAGCCAGGGGCAGATTAATAGAGTCATAGACGCTAGGGTCGGAGGGACCTCAACAGATCATTGAGTCCAACCCCCTGCCCAGGCAGTGAAGAGTGCTGGGGTCAGATGGCCCCAGCCAGATGCCTATCCAGCCTTCTCTTAAAGACCCCCAAGGTAGGGGACAGCACCATCTCCCTTGGAAGCTCATTCCAAATTTTCATCACCCTTACTGTGAAGTTTTTTCCTGATATCTAGCCTAAATCTGCTCTCTGTCAGTTTGTGACCATTGTTCCTTGTTACCAGAAGAGGCACCCTGGTGAACAGAGCACCTCCGATCCCTTGCTGTGTCCCCCTAATGAATTTGTAGGTGGCCACAAGATCACCTCTCAGCCTTCTCTTGCTGAAGAGGTCCAGGTTCCTCAGTCTCTCTTCATAGGGCTGTCCTGTAAGCCCCTAACCATATGAGTGGCCTCCTCTGGACCCTCCCAAGTCTATCAACATGCTTCTTGAAGTACAGCGCCCAAAACTGGAAGCAGTACTCCAACTGCAGTCTGACCAATGCTGCATAGAGAAGCACCTCCTTGGATTTATCTGTCATGTATCTGTTGATGCATGATAAAGTGCAGTTAGCTTTGCTGATGGTTTCGTCACACTAACGACTCATGTTTATCTTGGAGTCCACTATGACTCAGAGATCCCTTTCCACTTCTGTGCTGCTGAGGGTCACTTCCCAGCTAGTAGGTGTGCTGGATATTTTTGTGCCCTAGGTGCAGCACTCTGCACTTGTCCTTGTTGTACCACAGCCTACTGTGTACTGCCCACTTTTCTAACCTGTCCAGGTCTGCCTGCAATCGTTCCCTACCCTCTAGAGTGTGCACTTCACCCCACAATTTAGTATCATCCACAAACTCGGACAGAGTACACTTCACAGCCACATCCAAGTCACAGATGAAGATATTGAAGTACAGGTCCAAGGACCGAACCCTGAGGGACTCCACTACCCCCACCCTTCCAGATCAATACCAACCCATCTACCACCACTCTCTGGGTGCAACTGCTAAGCCAGTTTGCCACTGTGTAAACATGTGTCACAGCCTCTCAATTTATTTATGAGAACA